GCCTTCTCCAGGTGCTGTCAGCTAGACAATGTCGGCTGGTGGCTCCCCCAGAGTGGGCCTTCTCCAGGTGCTGTCAGCTAGACAATGTCGGCTGGTGGCTCCCCGGGGGAGGGCCTTCTCCAGGTGCCGTCAGCCAGACAATGTTGGCTGACGGCTCCCTGGGGGAGGGCCTTCTCTGTAGCCACTCCAACCCTATGGAATGAACTACCCCCAGAGATCCAGACCCTACCTACTCTCATGGCCTTCCGAAAGGCTATCAAAGCCTGGCTATTCCGGCAGGCCTGGGGCTGTTGACCTCATGACCGAGGTCCAGCCCCGATTAGATGGAGTGCATGATGTGGTTTATTTTTTAATTTGTTTCATCCGTTTTTTAACTCTGCACTTTTTAAAAATTTATTTTCTGTAAGGCGCCCGGAGTCCTTCGGGATTGGGCGGCCTATAAATTTATTAAATCAATTAATCAATCAATTCTTAGGGCTGAGAGGGAGTGACTGGCTCATGGTCATGAACTGGTTCCGTGTCTTAAGGCAGAACTAGAATTCACAGTCTTCTGGTTTTTAGCCTTTTGACTTCAACTACACTAAAGTATACTAAAATAATCCCCAAACCCAAATCTGGTTAGATGAAAAGCAGACTAAAGAATCACAGCAGCAAATGGAATAATACAGATATAGTAAAATTCAGGATGTAAAATCAGCAGCAATGCAACCAAAATAAAATCCTTGAACAAATAAAATAAACTGTTACTAAGATTTCTAAGAATAGCTGCCAGACATAATGATTTATGGAATTATTTCCAAATCTGCTGAGATATTTGGTGTTACATATCTGCTGAATTATCCATCAATCTGTGTTCAGAAAGTCCTTGACTCACAACAATTCATTTAGTGACCATTTGAAGTTACAATGGCATTGGAAAAAGTGACTTATGACCATTTTTTTTATACTTATGACTGTTGCAACATCCCCAGGATCAAAATTCAGATGCCATTTGGCCATTGACTCATATTTATGATGGTTGCAGTGTCCCGGGGTCATGTGATCACCTTTTGCAACCTTATGGCAAGTCAAAGTCAATGGGGAAACCAGATTCATTTAACAACCGTGTTATTAATTTAACAATTACAGGGATTCACTTAACAAATGTGGCAAGAAAACTTGTAAACTGGGGCAAAACTCACTTTGCAACATAAATTTTGGATTCAATTGTGGTCGTAGGCCGAGGGCCAGCTACCATTAGATGCTATATTAATATGGCTCCATGACTAAATCTCATAGATCAGGGCTATCAAACTTGCAGCCCATGGGCCAGGTGTGTCACATGCTGACCACGTCCAGTTTAGCGAAGGGGAAAAAATTCACGATACGTCACATGATGGGGCCATGATGATGCAAGTTTGACACCCCTGTCATAGATACAAGAACATTTCATTTTAGTCTCTTACATGATATAACAGGCATTGTTTTCATTGGTGGGATGATGGTAACTCTTTCAGGTACATCTTCTGCACTTGAAGCTACAAAGAAAAGAAGAACATTTGCTTATTTGTGTGTGCACATACAACAGAATCAGTCAAACAAGGGTTTGATAAAAATTATGTCAGACAAATGAGCAGAGCCTGAATTTTTCATTGTTTTTTTCTACTTTTTAGTTACATGACTAAATTCAGTTTATGCCTCTTTTATTTTGTTTTCCTGCTAAAATTGAACATATGTATCTCCTTTTATTGAGAATTTAATTGATAAATTTCAATGGTTTCAATACAGGTGGCTGGATATTCACAAAAAAAGGATGTCAAGACCCATCTCCCATTTGCTCGTCTCTGCCCTATTCCTTCATCATGTATCCTCAAGACATACTGGCTTTCTAAACCCAATTTTAGTGACTCCCCATACAGTTATGTGGAAGCTATCTGTGGGAGAATGTTCCACATAAAATAGAGAAAAACAGGACATTTGAAAAGATTGCAGAGATTCTTGAGATCCTCCAACTTGGATTACTGGTAATTGATATACTGATAACATATAACTAAAATGAAAAAAAATATTTTAAATGGACATAATCTAACAAAGCTATACCCTTAATAATCTTTGTCAGAATGGGGAAAAATGATATTTTGAGCACTGCAACTGGTAGAATCAAGGATTAAAGTTGGAAATTAATGACAATCAATGTAATTGATTGAAATGAATAATTTCTTCATTCATTTCTGTTTTATATAGTCAAAGTCTTCATAGATTGATGGTATAACAGGATATGTTATATAACAGGATGTTATAACAGGATAAGCGGTATATAAGTCTAACTACTACTATATGTATTTCAATTCAGGGAAGAGGAGCAGTAACTATCAGATGCTTTATGGGATGCAGCAAAACAGGTCTTCTTAGTGGTTCGTGAATGAGATGAAACCATATTACCCTTTGAAAAACAGCCAAATGGAAAACATTTCAGTCTAAATTCAAATCAAAAATTTAATTCACATCCATTTGCTATTAAAAGGGTTGTGGGTCATCTCTTTATATCAGCTGAAAAAAAAATACGGAAAACTGACTCTTTGTTCCTATCTGGTGGCCATCCAGGTTTTGCAATCCAGATAAAAGATGAGATCAGATGCAAAAACATGGGTGTCTGAACAACTGAGTCTCATTCCATCTCTCCATTTATATAATTACGAAGAATGAATATTTTTTTCTTTTTCAACAATATCCAAGCTTTTGATAGGAGAATTAATCTCCTTAAAAACAGCATGTGAAGAATATACTGTACATTCATGTCTACACAAGGTTATTTTTTAGATAAAGGGAAGCAGTTAGTGTTATTTTTCTTTGAAGGTTAGCTATAGACTACAAGGTTTAATATTTTATTTAAAAATGAAATGGTTCAAGATCTTCTTCTTAGGCCAAAAATGCCTCACTCATTCCAATCTCTTCAAATAAGTAGCATAGCTCAAAACATTCTTTGAATGTTAACTTTCCAAATTCTATATAGGCTTTACAAATTAATGAAGGCACAGGAATAACTTAAAAAGTCTTCCTTCTGAAAGGTTTCTAAACAAGAACAAACAGTAAACTTCATCAATACAAGCTAATTATTTTGATAAGAAACTTGGGTTGAGGAGGAAATAACTTTTGGAGAGAGGTTTATACTTTTATAAGATTAGATTTAATCTTCAAAGCCTTCTTTACAGATACGTCATTAAGCATGTTTTACTTCAGGCTGCATCAAATTAAAAGGCTTCCTTCAATGAAGATACATTAAATATTTAGTTTAACTAGTACTAACTGTTGGGGAAAGGAACTTGCTAAAATTGAAAAATCCATATAATTTACAAATCAAATGAACTGTGTTTTTCAAAATCAATTATATATTTAATTGCTTTAAAAAAATAAATATACCACAAAAATGAGAGGGTTTTTTTTTTTACCTTTCTGTTGGATACAGCAGATCACCAGAATTACAACCCATAATGGTATCCTAGGTCCTTTACCAAACCCCATCTTGAATGGAGCTTGGTAGCAATGTGTGTGCAACCAGCCTCTGACCAGCAGGACCAAGTCACCTGAACTCTTAAACTCTTATATAGTGGGATATTTGGGCTATTTTTCCATGCAACTAACAAGGTGGAGCTGTCAGAGGTAAATAGAGGATGCACTTCCATTTCCTTGATGGTTAGCCAGGAATGTTTGCTTTTGGTGAGGTGTATTGTTTTTTTGTCAAAGTTCCATCTAGTAAGGGAAATCAGAAATGAATAACCTACAGGTAAGAATCCTTCTTTGACAAAAAAAAAAGCCATTGAAGATCCTGGAAAAAAAATAAGCTCAAGGATCTTTTGACCAGAACATGGTTCAAACAGACTATTATTTAAGGTTCTGGATATTGCTAAGTATTGTTGTTAAGCACTGATTAAACGGGGATTATAGAAAAGAAGTAACATTTTTATTATTTTGAGCCAACATCTTGCTTGTATGTATTCAGGACTGATGAGGCTTGAAAGTTGAACTACAGAACTCTTTTGATTTCTCCCAGTACATTGCAGATAGAGGCACTGAGTAAGGATCACAACAGAAATGCCATGCTGCAGTGGCCTTTCTGCTCATTAGATTCAGACCGGTATCACTATCTGAAAAAATAGTTTGATTGGATAGTGAAAAAAACGTTTTACCAATAAAGGAGAATATTTGTAGCTCAGGGTTGAAATGAGGGGTCCTTGGTGCTCTCTGAGCTTGCTTGTTTTCTTGCAAACATTTCATTACCCTAACTAGGTAACATCATCACTGCTAATCTGTGAAAAAAAATGTTTGCTTAAATAGTGAGAACCTAACAAGTAAGGATCAGAGAGTTATTGAGAAATAGGCCTATTCCATAAGATATCTCTGCACACAATAGCAGACTGCTTTAAATTAATGATGGAATATGTTTCTACTGGAAATCATGAAACATGAAACAGAAATAGCTCTGCCACCATGATTGAGAGTGTGGCAATGGTAGGGAGTTTTTACAATGGCTTTGTGTAAACGTGGGCTTTTATAGAGTGGACTTTGGCTACTGACCATGGTTATTTGAGGTTATTAATGTTTTATATGTACATATATTGGTTTTAAAGATGTCTTTATTGGATTATTGTTTCAGCTGTTGTAAGTCACCCAGAGTCACTAAATGAGATGAGCAGCCATACAAATTGAATAAACAAACAAATAGCAAATAAAAGTGACAAATGGTTATGCTCAGTCTTGAAATGAGAAGTATAATTTGAGGCTAGATGTGAAGCTTTGGACTGGGAGTCAGTCTCTAAAATAAATCCATCTATGGAATGATAATGTAGAACACACAGTTTTTCAGCATGACTTATTTTTTTTTCTTAACATGTTGTTTTCAGAAACAACATGTAACACTGGGCAGTGTTGAGCTTCAGGGTTTAGTGAATATGATCTATATATCAGATTTCCTGATCTTTCACCAGTGATTGTGGCTTGCATCTTTAAGAAATGTCAGGAAATCTGTTGTATAGACCATAGCTACTAAACCAGATGCTTAACATAACCCAAAGATAATGGCTATGAAAGCCTACACCAGTATAACATATAACAATGCTTATATTCTGTCTTTCACAATCTAGACTCCTCTACATAGGAAGGAAGAAGTACAGATTCCACTACCCTCAATTAGGATCTAACATAATGGCTATACAATAGGACATTTGGTTCAACATATATATGAAAGGCTCAGGAATGGCAAAACCTGAAGTATGATAATCAAACAGATTTAGATGCCTTAAAATGTATTTTGGGCACTTTCTTCAGAGTACCTGTCAGCTCATATAACTGGTTGTATGTGTATTTTTTCTGTTGATAATGTAAATTGGGATAATGGTGAAAATGCCTATTAAACATATATGCAACAAAAATTATATGCCTTTCATTTTAAAATGAATTAATGATTTTTTAATATTTGTTACATTTCCTAGACAGATCATTCTTATCATCATTTCATGTGCTGAAGTTTTTATTTTTTGAAATAATATCTTCTACAAATCTTTTTCAGGGGAGTAAAAGTTCCCAACAACCATTCAACTGCAATTGTATTGTGTCATTAATCATCTTGTCCATAACCCCAGTATTGTTCATTAAGATATTGTTTAAAGTTAATTTACAATGTTTACAAGTCCAATTTTTATTTGGGAAACATTTCTCACCGAAAAAAGGAAGATAGAAAAATAGAAATAAAATAAAAATGAACATTGGAAGGAAGGAAACATTGTAGAATGAACAAGAGATGTTGGTAAATCCCAGCCTATTAATCATGAATTGAAAAAGGTCAATTATATCTACACAGCTCCACTATTTGTCAAAAGGATTAAATGAACACAATAATCAGCTGCCACAGTATTTTCATCCTCTGGTGTTGGATATTTTTTGCTCTGTCAACATGATATTTAAACAAAAAATATCCAGGAGAATGTTGCTGATAGAAAGGAGGAAATGCTTATTATTTGTAAAAAACTGATGAATGGCAAAATTCCCCTTCATATTTTCCTAATCCTATGATTAAAATGATCTTGTAGGAGAATCTCATAGGGAAATAAATAAAAGTTGCTTGAAGAGCTGTTTTTCTCTCACTGAGAACAATTGAATATGATGGCTTCTATCAATAGTGTGCACTTCATTGAGAATAAATCACTGTAATTGTAGATCTTTAAGAAGGACTGTATGAGGACATAGGAGGGACAATGAAAAGTCTTTTAGCAAGACTGAAATCTATCCCAGGAGTTTTGTAAATAATTTGAAAGCCCTCGGTTACAAAACGATTAGGATAATTCTATAAAACTGTTTTTTAAATAAACCCTTTTATTGACGTTTGGATATACAACCTTTTGAACACATAAAACACATGTTAGTCAGGACAGTCTGGCCAAATCCTCACTCTGTCCCACTGGATAATAAATTAAGACCATCTGAAATGCCGAAAAAGAGAGTAGGAAAGAAAAAGAATTATCCAGAACGTTTCATCAGACAATAGGCTATAGAAGGGAAAGAATAAGGAAGACGTGCAAAGGAGCGCTCCCAAGTGGTATAGAAAAATTAAACTATATAGTACTGAAAGTATTTGGAAGTTATAGTGTTTGTTTCAGCTGATACAGGAAGCCACTGAACTTTCATTAAAGAGCATAATATCAAATCAAGTTTATTAGGAGAAAATACATCCTTGAGATACCCTAATCCTAGATTAGTCATGACTTAAAATCTAAATCTTCATTTAAGACCAGAAACAGAAATTGTCTGAGGAAATCTACCTCAAATTATAACAGAATAACAGGGTTGGGAGGGACTTTGGAGATCTTCTAGTCCAACCCTCCTCACACGGGAGACCTAGCAGGTGTGCAGACTCTTCTTAGATTCTTGGCTTCTGCAAGAGAAGCAGGTGACCGCAGTAGCCAGTAGGCTCTGGGTAAAGCAATGTTTTTCAGCTTTGACAACTTTTAAGCTATGAGGACCTCAACTCCCAGCACATTTTAAAGTTGGCAAGGTTAAGAAAGACAGATCTAGGCTGTTATAAAAATGTTGACTATTATATTGATGCAGGATGTCAGGCAATACATTCCTTCAGGTTGATCCAGAATCATATAGTTAGACTGTAAAAACTTTATGCTAGTGTCTTTAAAGGTGATTTGATTACATGACATTACATTCAGTGGTTGGAGTCAAAAATTTTTACTACCTGTTCTGTGGGTGTGACTTGGTAGATGTGACATGGCATGGCTTGGTGAGCGTGGTTTGGTGGGCGTGGCAGGGGAAGGATACTGTTAAATCTCCATTCCCTCCCCACTCCAGGGGAAGGTTCCTGCAAAATCCCCATTTCTTCCTAATCAGCTGGGACTCGGGAGGCAGAAAATAGATGGGGGCGGGGCCAGTCAGAGGTGATATTTACCGGTTCTCTGAACTACTCAAAATTTCTGCTATCGGTTCTCCAGAACTGGTCAGAACCTGCTGAATACCACCTCTGATTACAACAAAAAAATGTTCCCATAGCTATACTTACAAAAATAATTTCCTCATTAATTTCTCTGGAAATAGATCCACAAGGTCCACTCTCTGTTAACAACTGGGTACAGAGTTCACTTTCACTTTCATTTTTAAAAGAAAGGTAGTTACTTTTCAAAAAATATCTAAAAGTTGGGAAGATTAGATTTGGAAACCTTACAAACCAGAAATATATGTAACAGAAAATGACATAAGAAATATTATAATAAGCTTTTTCCATTGCAAATAGTAGCCCTACCTAAAATAGGTGCCCCATTCTCTCATCATTCAAAACACTAACAAAGGCGTACAACTATGTATACATTTACAGTATATATGTAAATTACAAGCTAGTAGTAAATAAATACATTTTGGTATTGTGTTTCAGCTTCTTTCCATGACTGGTCAGATACAGTCTTTGGGGTAATGAGTAAAGGAGGATCTGGTTTAATCACCTCTAATTGTATCAATAAGATGGTGTGACATGGTTATGGGTGCTGTTGGAAATACATTGATCATGCAGTTGAGAACTCTGTAAATAAAGTTCCTGTACTTAAGTCCCATCATTAATTTTATCTTTCTCTAACTATGGTGGGATTAGAGTTCCCAGATTTCTTCTCCAGGAACATCTGTGAGGTTATTGGGATTTCTTTTCTTTTTTTCTTTTAAAGGCTAATTTAATGTTTCATCACTTTTTTCCTCTCTGACCTTTCCTGCCACAATTGCTTGTTTTCTTTTAAAGAAGTGTTTAATCACACTCTGCCACCACCCCATTATCTCCAAAGGGACAATTTGAAAGAGGAAAAAATAGAACTTCCATTTGAATTTGCTGAATATGTAAATTGCCTTAATGACCCCCTCAATGAACTGTACTTGCAAGAGCAGTCAGGTTTCATCACTAGATTTCAATTAAATTCCTTTGTCCCTCATTTCTCCTCCAGCCTGAGACGGTAAATTGAGATCCTTTTACTCAGATCATAATGTTTTCTGTTGCATGAACCCTTAAGCTATTACATTGCATCTTGTCTCCATTTTACACACCATTAA